CATTTCCTCAGAAATCAAATTGCCCTCAGAGAAAACAAGATCAAAGTGAAGTCTGTGTCATGGCAATTTACTGCTGCCAATTTGCTCCATGTGTCTGGCATAGTTTTCATTCTTCTATGGGAGTTGATCTTTTGGCTGGTTGCTTATTGCTATGCAGTGCAGTACATTGTTGCAATCAAAAGACAGAGCTATTATTAATATGGGTCACAAACCACTTTTCTGAGGAGCCCCCGGTGGTGCAATGGGTTAAACCCTTGTGCTGGAAGGACTGCTGACCGAAAGTTTGGCAGTTTGAATCCAGGGAGTGGGGTGAGCTCCTGTTGGTCAGCTCCAGCTTCCCATGCAGGGAGATAAGAGAAGCCTCCCACAGGTTGGTAAAACATCTGGGTGTCCCCTGAGCAACTTTCTTACAGACAGCCAATTTTGTCACACATGAAGCAACTTGCAGTGTTTCAAGTCGCTCCTGACATGACCCCCCCTCACACGTTTCTATTAAATCTTATATTTAGAAGTTATTAATATGCCAGTTTGTTTTTTTCCCTAAATCAAAATAGTGTAAAATGCAGGTGATACAAGTGCAAAGAAAACCAAAAAAAAGTGCAGATGATGTATTTTACCTAATATTATATGTTTTGGAGAAATGTGGATTAATGTATTTGGGTATGTTGAAAGATGAGATCAAGTGCAATAATGCTGATCATGCAGCAATGTGTTTTTTGAAGTAGAAAAATGGGATTAATTTACTGCAATGGTATTTGAATTGGAAATATAAGATTAGTGGTTTTACTGATTTTAACTACTTATTTTCAGTACCACAATGTTTAATTCTATTTTAGTACTAATATGTCTGAGGTTTTAAATCACATATTGTATTCCTTTTAACTTTGTTAACTGATTTGAGTCTCTTTTAAGAGAGAAAAGGTATCATATAAATACATACAACAATAACAATCTCACTGCTATATAAAGGAAATGTTTGGGAGTAAAAAGAAAAGTAGTTCAAAATTCCTCTGAGGATGCTTGCCATAGATGCAGGTGAAATGTCAGGAGAGAATGCCTCTAGAACATGACCATATAGCCCGAAAAACCTACAACAACCCAGTGATTCTGGCCATGAAAGCCTTCGACAATACATTAGTTCAAAATTTGTGGCACCTATTAGCCTAACCAGGAGCCCCCAGTGGCACAGCAGGTTAACCACTGAGCTGCTGAACTTGCTGACCGAAAGAAACAGTTTGAATCCAGTGAGCGGGGTGAGCTCCCACTGTTAGCCCCAGCTTCTGCCAACCTAACAGTTTGAAAACATGCAAATGTGAGTAGATCAGTAGGTACCGCTCGGCAGGAAGGTAACATCGCTCCAAGCAGTCATTCTGGCCAAATGACCTTGGAGGTGTCTATGGACAATTCCGGCTCTAAGGCTTTGAAGTGGAGATGAGCACCACCCTCCAAAGTCAGACACAACTAGACTTAATGTCAAGGGGAAAGCTTGACCTTTACTTATTATCCTAACCACATGAATCCTATAATATAGCAGTGAAAACCATGACATGCTACAGAAAAATCTTCAAAATAGCTGGTTTGCTGTCTTTACAACTGTGACACAGTGACACAGTGACGAGACACACATACAATTGTGTTTCATACAACTGCCTTATCTTCCTGCATCTTTAACCAGCCTGGAACAGAGAACTTCTCCTGTTCTTGCCAATGGTAAATGACCGTCTTCTCAACAGTTGTATGATCAACCATGCTTAATGCTGACCTATTATAACTAACTAAGGTGCCTCTGAGCTTTCATTCTGAATTATGAAGTTAATTATCTAAGGAAAGGCTCGACTAACCACACCTTCAAAAGGAAAACATGAGACCAGGCCCTAAACTAGATTTTAATGAATAATAAAGAGCACATAACCATCTGATCTAACTATGCCATGCCATTCATTTCCCAACATGAACCATACCAATAGATTTGAATGTGTAGCCCATCTTGGAAACTGGGAAAACTGGGATCCGTGGAGAGTTATCCTTTCTTTAGCTCTACCATGCAAACATATGACTGCTTAGCACAATATGAAACTAGGGGACATTCCACACAGCCCTATATCCCAGAATATAAGGCAGGAAATCCCACAATATCTGCTTTGAACAGGTTTATCTGAGTCCACACTCAGATAATGTGGGATTTCCTGCCTTGATTTTGGGATATAGGCCTGTGTGGCAGGTCCCTTGGATGTTCATACCATGTTCCCAAAGGGACTGTGGTGACAATGGAAGATCTGAATGTGTGTGAACTTAAAGTGGACACCAGTTCAGTGAGCCAAAGGACTCAACTGTGTGAACCAAAACCAAATGATAGCTGGATATCGGCGCGCGCACAACAAAATGCTTGGGGAAAGCAGCTAGGGAGTACTCAGTACAGATTGGGGTTAACATGGGTCCAATTTAGTAAAGGCTCTGTCTGATAAGAATGCTTGGCAAGGAAGAAAGCAGCAGAAAAAGAGAAAGAGCACATCCCAGAAGGAGAGAATCAACCAAGGAGGCCATCAATGCCCTCTGTCTGCAAGACCTGAGGACAAGGGACTTGGGGCTCTCTCCTTTATGGGGTCACCATGAGTTGAAGTGAACTTGACGCAAGTTAATAACAAAAACAACCACTATCCATCCTCTATTTTACAGATGCTGAGAGAATGCAATCTGACACCACTTTACCTGCCTTGGCTCAAGGCTATGGGATACTGGGTTGGAGTTTGGTGAGGTACCAACATTCTTTGGAAGAGAAGTCTAAATGAAGATGTTGTAAAAGGACATGTCCTATGATTCCCGAGCATTGAGCCATGGCAGTTTAAAGTGGTGTCAAACTGCATTCATTCCACAGTGTTGAGCAGGCATGGGCAAACTTTGGCCTCCAGGTGTTTTGGACTTCAACTCCCACAATTCCTAACAGCCCATCGGCTGTTAGGAATTGTGGGAGTTGCAGTCCAAAACACCTGGAGGGCCAAAGTTTGCCCATACCTGGTGTAAAGGCACCCTACAATGCACAGATGAGGAGGAACAGTGACTGACAGGTAATGCAATACAACAGATTTCCATCCCTCCCTCCCTCGGCTCCACAATTCTGGGCGACATTCAAGGTGTGCTGCATTTCCAGTGCTCACATATGAAGATGGGAAGATGGTACAAGCATGAGGAGAGACAATTTAAGTATTTAAGTATTCCCTAGGAAAGAACATAAAGAAGGAGAAGGAGGGAAACCTCCCTCTTGCCTGCCTGGGAGGGCGGAGGGGGAAATTAGGTTACAACTGGTCCAGGCTCAAGGGGCATTAGGGCCCGTTCCCTCCCTGAAGGGCCCCGGGCGGGCTCAGAGGCCGGCAGCCAGGGAGCAAGCGGAGAGAGAGGCGGAGGAGCCATTTTGACCGCTGTGTGACAGTGACAGCAGGCCTGGCCCAAGAGGAGGAGGGGAGGGAGGGGGGGGGAGAAAGGAAGGAAGGGAGGAAGAAAGGAGCTGAAGGAGGGAGAGAGAAAACAGCAAGGGGTCTTTCTGGGGGGAGAGAAAAAAGAACCACAGCCACCACCAACTGGGGGACAGATGCCCTGCAGACTGGGTGCTGCTTAACAGGACACCAAGGAGAGAATAAAGAGGTGGAATATGGAAGCAAAGATAGGAGTGGAAAGAAATAGAAGAAAGGGAGGAAGGGAGGGGGGAGAGGTAAGGATTAGAAAGGAGGGAGGAGGGAATGGATGGGAAAAAGAGAGATGGAAGGAAGGAAGGCCTAGAAAGGAAGCAAGAGAGGAGAAAGAGAGGTAAGGAAAAAGGAAGGAGGGAAGAAAGGGAGGGAAGTGGAAATTGATGGGAAGAAGAGGAAAGCAGAGAAAGAAGGAAGGAAGGCCTAGAAAGGAAGCAAAGGAGAAAGAGAGGTAAGGATTAGAAGGATGGGAGAATGGAAAGGGAAGAAAAAGGTGAAGGAGGGGAGAAAGGAAAAGAAGGATGTGTGAAAGGATGAGTGAGAAGGTAGGAAGAGAAGGGATGGGAGGAAGGAAGAGAGAAGAAGAGAAGGGAAAAAGAAGAAGAAGGGAAGGAGGTTGGGACATAAAGAGGGAGTTAAGGGAAAAGGAGGGATGTTGGAAGGAAAGAAGACAGGGAGGAAGTGAAGGAAGAAAGTAAAGGGAAGGGGGAGGGAGGGAAGAGAGAAAGGAATAGAAGGATGTATGAAAGGGTGAGAGAAAGGGATGGATGGATGGAAGGAAAGGAATGAAGGGAAGGGAGAGAAGGGGGAAAGGAATAAGGGAAGGAGGTTGGGATATAAGGAGAGAGGGAAGAGAAAAGGAAGGTGTTGGAAGGAAAGAAGACAGGATGGAAGGATGGGAAGGGAAGTGATTGGATGGGAGGGAAGGGAAGGGAAGGGAGAGAGAGAAAGGAATAGAAGGATGTATGAAAGGGTGAAAGAAAGGGATGGATGGAAGGAAAGGGAAAGGAGAGAAGGGAGAAAGGAATAAGAAGGGAAGGAGGTCGGGATATAAGGAGAGGGAAGAGAATGGAGGGTGTGGGGAGGAGAGGGAGAAAGGGAAGGATGAGAGGCAATGGACATGGATGTGTGATAGGCGATAAGGAAATGAGGAAGGGAAGGAAAGGAAAGGAAGGGAGAGAGGGAGGAGAGAAAGGAATAAAAAGGGAAGGATGTTGGGATATAAGGAGGGAAGAGTGTTGGAAGGAAAGAGGAGAGAAAGGAATAGAAGGATGTGTGAAAGGGCGAGAGAGAAGGTAGGAAGCGAAGGGGAGGATGGATGGAAGGAAGGAAGGAAGGGGAGAATGAGTAGAAGGGAGAGGGGATCAATGGAAGGAGGGACAGAAGGGATGGAGGAGCGGGCGGGCGGCCAAGCGCAAAGGAAGGAGGGAAGGAAGGAAGGCAGGAAGGCAGGTCGGCAGCTTGCGCGCCTTCCCCGTTGTCCTTCCCGAGCGGCACCTGCGTGCCGGCGTCCTCCTTGCCCCGAAGGGCGCTCACCTCGGATGCTCCAGCTCCACCGGTAGAACTCCAGGGTGTCGTTGACGACGTTGGCGATGAGGCCCGGCTCTGCGGCGGCGACGGGGTGCGCCATGGCTGGGGCTGCAGGGCTGGCAGGCGGGCGAGCAGGCGGGCAGGCAGGCAGGCCGAGGGATGCGCGCGTCGGCCTCGCTCTCTTCCTCTCTCTCTCTCTCTCGCTGCTCCTGCTGCTCCCCTGGCCCAGGTGGAGAATGGGCAGCTCCAACCCAGGTCCCCGGGTATCTTTCTCCGCAGGCCCCGCCTCGCTCCCGACGGCTCCCGTGCCCACGGGCAGAGACAGGGAGAGAGCGAGAGAGAAGGAGGGAAGGAAGGAAGGAAGGAAGGAAGAGAGGAAGGAAGGAAGGAAGGAAAGGAGGAGGCGGGAGGAGGGAGGCCGGCCCAGCGAGCGAGCGAGCGAGCAAAAGACGGAGGCGCCGGGCTGCGGCACCTGCGGGTGGACAGCGGCGCTGAGCTCGGCCGGCGTCACGTGGTCTCCCTCCCCCTCCCTCCTTCCCCCTCCCTCTCAGTCGGCCCACCCCTCCCACCGCTCTCCCGGGGGCATCTTTGCCAAGCAGCCCAGCCGCGCAGGCGCAGAAGGCGCACTGGCAAATGAATGAAAGTGGGGCTCGTCCTTTTGAATGGCGTGCGTCTCATTTACCAAGACCTCACTCGGGTGCTTCTGCTTTCTTTCTTTTTCCCCCTTTTTAAAAGACTTCTGGGTTTTCGCTTTTCTTCTTAAATGTTATTAGCAAAAGCACAGGTGAGAAAGTCACTTAGATCCATGTTTACTTTTAATTTTGTTTCAAAAGTCAGAGACCTACATAGGGACAAGATTTCATCACACTCATATGGTATACTTTATTTTGCTTACACCATTATTATTCAGTAGCATCTTCTAATGTTAGATTTTCTGTAATTACTGCAAATATAAATTCTGCCTCTCATTGATGGAGATTGCCCTGTTTCAGTATTGTGGCTGATGCTATTATTCCATCATTTTTGGGCAACAACCCACCCAGGGGTTGGCTCCCTAGGCTTTCACTATGACTAAGTAGCCTAGAGAAACACCCTAAGAGGATACAGCAAAAAAAATAACACCTGTTATCATATTATTATTATTATTGATTTATTAACTATATTTATACCCTGCTCTTCTCACCCTGAAGGGGACTCAGAGCGGCTTACAGATTATGGCAAAATTCAATGCCTCGTTATACATACAAATAATATAGCATATCAAATTATGAAACAGTTAAAACATACAAATGCAATAAAACAGATTAAAACATAGTTTCCTAATCACTCTCCCTCCACAGGCCAAACAAAAGCCTGTTAGTAGAAGTGGTCTTATGCATTATTACCCAGGGGGTAAGGAGATATAAAGTGCTAGTCTATTAGGGTACATGTGCCACAATTCTGCACAGAAATGTAATCCAAGGTTTATCTGGTCAAATATGAGACCAATCTTGAATTTTGTCCTTGTATATCAGCTTTTGTACACCTCATATATGTTGTTGTTGTTGTTCATTCGTTCAGTCGTCTCCGACTCTTCGTGACCTCATGGACCAGCCCACGCCAGAGCTCCCTGTCGGCCGTTACCACCCCCAGCTCCCTCAAGGTCAGTCCAGTCACTTCAAGGATGCCATCCATCCAGCTTGCCCTTGGTCGGCCCCTCTTCCTTTTGCCTTCCACTTTCCCCAGCATAATTGTCTTCTCTAGGCTTTCCTGTCTCCTCATGATGTGGCCAAAGTACTTCAACTTTGTCTCTAGTATCTTCCCTCCAGTGAGCAGTCGGGCTTTATTTCCTGGAGGATGGACTGGTTGGATCTCCTCGCAGTCCAAGGCACTCTCAGCACTTTCCTCCAACACCACAGCTCAAAAGCATCGATCTTCCTTCGCTCAGCCTTCCCTAAGGTCCAGCTCTCACATCCGTAGGTGACTACAGGGAATACCATGGCTTTGACTAGGCGGATCTTTGTTGCCAGTCTGATGTCTCTACTCTTCACTATTTTATCGAGACTGGACATTGCTCTCCTCCCAAGAAGTAAGCGTCTTCTGATTTCCTGGCTACAGTCTGCATCTGCAGTAATCTTTGCCCCTAGAAATACGAAGTCTGTCACGGCCTCCACGGTTTCTCCTTCTATTTTCCAGTTGTCAATCATTCTTGTTGCCATAATCTTGGTTTTTTTGACTTTAGCTGCAACCCGGCTTTTGCGCTTTCTTCTTTCACCTTGATTAGAAGGCTCCTCAGCTCCTCCTCGCTTTCGGCCATCAGAGTGGTGTCATCTGCATATCTGAGGTTGTTAATGTTACTTCCAGCAATTTTCACCCCAGCTTTGCATTCATCCAGCCCCGCACATCGCATGATGTGTTCTGCATACAAGTTAAAAAGGTTGGGTGAGAGTATGCAGCCTGCCGTACGCCTTTCCCAATGTTGAACCAGTCTGTTGTTCTGTGGTCAGTTCTGACTGTTGCTACTTGGTCCTTGTACAGATTCCTCAGGAGAGAGGGAAGGTGGCTTGGGATGCCCATCCCACTAAGAACTTGCCACCATTTATTCTGATCCACACAGTCAAAGGTTTTAGAATAGTCAATGAAGCAGAAATAGATGTTTTTCTGAAACTCCCTGCCTTTCTCCATTATCCAGCGGATATTGGCAATTTGGTCTCTCGTTCCTCTGCCTTTTCTAAACCCAGCTTGAACATCTGGCAACTCTCGCTCCGTATTGCTGGAGTCTTCCTTGCAGGATCTTGAGCATTACCTTACTGGCATGAGAAATAAGGGCCACTGTACGGAAGTTTGAGCAGTCTTTCGCATTTCCCTTTTTTGGTATGGGGATATAAGTTGATTTTTTCCAGTCTGATGGCCATTCTTTTGTTTTCCATATTTGCTGGCATATGGCATGCATCACCTTGACAGCATCATCTTTTAAGATTTTAAACAGTTCAGCTGGGATCCCGTCGTCTCCTGCTGCCTTGTTGTTAGCAATGCTTCTTAAGGCCCATTCAACTTCACTCCTCAGGATGTCTGGTTCTAATTCATTCACCACACCGTCATAACTATCCTCAATATTATTATCCTTCCTATACAGATCTTCTGTATAGTCTCGCCACCTTCTCTTGATCTCTTCAGCTTCTGTTAGGTCCCTGCCATCTTTGTTTCTTATCATACCAATTTTTGCCTGAAATTTACCTCCAATGTTTCTAATTTTCTGGAAGAGGTCTCTTGTCCTTCCTATTCTGTTGTATTCCTCCACTTCCATGCATTGCTTATTTAAAAATAGTTCCTTATCTCTTCTGGCTAACCTCTGGAATTGCGCATTTAACTGGGCATATCTCCCCTTTTCACTGTTTCCTTTTGCTTTCCTCCTTTCTTGGGCTACTTCCAGTGTCTCAGCAGACAACCATTTTGCCTTCTTGGTTTTCTTTTTCTTTGACGTACTTTGTTGCCGCCTCCTGAACAATGTCGCGGACTTCTGTCCATAGTTCTTCTGGGACTCTGTTTACTAAATCTAGTCCTTCAAATCTGTTCTTCACTTCCACTGTATATTCGCTAGGAATGTTAGTGAGATCATATCTAACTGATCTGTGTATTTTCCCTGATCTCTTTAGTTTTATTCTAAATTTGGCAATAAGAAGTTCGTGATCTGAGCTACAGTCAGCCCCAGGTCTTGTTTTCACCGACTGGATGGATGTCCGCCACCTTTGGCTGCAAAGGATGTAGTCAATCTGATTTCGGTGTTGACCATCTGGTGAGGTCCATGTATAAAGCCGTCTTTTAGGTTGTTGGAAGAGAGTATTCGTTATACACAGCGAGTTTTCCTGGCAAAATTCTATCAGCCTGCGTCCCGCTTCATTTTGTTCTCCCAGACCTTGCTTGCCTGTGATCCCAGTTGTCATTTGACTTCCCACCTTGGCATTCCAGTCTCCTGTAATGAAAATAATGTCTCTTTTTGGTGTATTATCCAGTAGGTCCTGCAGATCCTCATAGAACTGATCTACTTCTGCTTCTTCAGCAGCTGTGGTTGGGGCATATATTTGGATCACTGTAATGTTGAAAGGCTTTCCTTGCACTCGAATTGAGATCATGCTGTCATTTTTTGGGTGTATCCAAGCACCGCTTTAGCGAATTTCTTATTAATTATGAAGGCTACTCCATTTCTTCGATGTTCCTCTTGTCCGCAGTAGTAGATCTGGTGGTCATCTGATGTGAAGTGGCCCATTCCAGTCCATTTCAGTTCGCTGACCCCCAGAATTGTCTATCTTTAGTCTTGACATCTCACCAATAACAACATCCAATTTGCCCTGGCTCATAGATCTTACATTCCAGGTTCCTATGGTGTGTTGATCTTTAGAGCATCGGATTCGTCGTTCACCTCCAGTACCGTCGGCCGCTAGCCTTCCTTTCGGCTTTGAGCTAGCTGCGTCATCACATCTGGGGCTAGTTGAACTTATCCTCTGCTCCTCCCCAGGAGCATTTTGGCCATCTTCCGACCTGGGAGTCCCATCTTCCAATGGCATACCGACATATCTCTGGTTGTACTGGTCCATTTAGTTTTCTTGGCAAGGATACTGGGGTGGTTTGCCATTGCCTTCCCCAGGGATCACGCTTGGTCTGACCTCTCTGCCACAACCGTCCCGTCTTGGGTGGCCCTTCACGGTTTCGCTCATGACATCATTGAGGTGCTCAAGCTCCAGCGCCCCGACAAGGCGGTGATCCTTTGCTGGAGACCTCATATATACTAAATAAAAAATTAAAAAGAATCTAATAGCATGTATTAAATATGGATTACAGTAGCTAAAGTTATTTAAAGTATTTATATGCCTTTCTAATAAAGCACTTTTAAATAATATTTTGACTTATTTTTTATTAGCGTTTTATCTAAAAAACCCAAGATTTTTAAAAAAGAAAAAGATTGTTTTGTTTACATTGAAAGTGGGAGAACAATTTCACGTATAGAAAGTAGGGGGGAGGGAAAGATAGAGCAAAAAACTGAAAAAAGAAAAAGAATAAAAATAAAAATAAAGGTAAAAATTAAAAAAAAGATTGTTTGTTGACTTCCTTCTTGCTTTTGATGATTGTTTACTCTATTTACTC